TTACTGGTAAGTGGTAATTACTTCACATTTGGATGTTTTTTGCACTTGAAAGAATTTCACAGCTATTAGTTGTTCTTTATAGAAGCCTTAGTATAGAACATTATAACATCCGTTCTCGCAGAACAGAATCAGAGGCTGACACACAAAGTAGTTGGAACAAAACCGTTCCAAGGATGTATATTTGCTTCAAGAATGTTTTCAGCTTTATGCCACATCCAGAGGAGACACGGACTTTTAAAACAGAAGCCATGAAGTATGTTAGCCACAGATTGAAGCAGGGGGATGGGGGTGTCTTTTGTAAAGTCTCATGACCAAGACACAATGTCATATGCTCACTTTACATCTGTGCCTCTGTTCAAGGGAACACAGTCTAAATTCAAACCCAGATCAGCAACTTCTGGGCAACGCTCTGTCCTTGTATGACAGGTCCTTTCAACAGCCTCTCTCTGCTGTCATCTTCATAGTCCTCAAGAGCTTCATCTGTATGTTTTGTGTTGAGATACAAACATAATTATCACCCACTCCCTGGTGTAAGCTACCCATGTTACAGGTCTCAGTCCTCCAAGCCTGCCTTGGGCCTCCCTTCTCACCTCCAAGGTTGTGTGAACTCCTGTTAGAAACTCAGGATTACGTCCCTACTGGACACAAGATACTCTGCCAAGGACAGATTCCCAAGACATGTCAGATTTTCAAATACATCATAACACTTGGAATGTAAATTTCCTCAAAAGTACTGCTGGGCCCATGGGCTTTTCATAGATGATACTTTATGAGAAATTAGAATGAACCAAACCCCAGGTGGCTTTAAATCGAAATCCACAGTCATCCAGGGAATGGGCCTGTCCAGTAGGAACTGGCACAACATTCAGCTTTGTGGTTTCTTAGGTTGGCTGGGGTCTGTTGGAGTTTTCTACCAATCAGTGACCTTTTTGGTGCCCCTGCCAGACAACATTGAGGGTTTTAATTTCATAATATTTTTTTCTTTCCTGTCTGACTTTTCAGTCACTTGTTGTGACTCAAAAGAGGACACCTGAGGAATGAAAAGTGACAAGGGACATATGGGGAGGACACCAGTTGCTTATGTTTGGATCATAGCTTTAAAAATGCTGGTCTAATACAAGCAGTTATTTGTTCCCAAGGGGAGGAAAAATGACATGACATCTTCTGCACATTTAAGATGAATACACTTTTAGCATGATAAAAAATTTACCCATAAGTGCAATGCTTGTTTTGTTGGTTCAGTGTATTTTTCACCAAATGGTGTGAACATATGGCCAGTACTTCTCTTGGCCATAAGATCTGAAGGGAGAAGACTCCTGATGGCGAGGAGCCATGGTGATTTATCGAGATGAGTTTCAATTCCAAAGGGGAGCTTGGAGTGAAGGCCTCTCTCAGCCAACTCTTGATGTGCAATCCCCTCTGCCCACATTTAACATTTGATGTCTGCTTTGGTGGGTAACAGATCGGAATGCATCTGGAAAAAGAAGGGTTTTGTTAATTAGTGGAATTGCATCTTGGTGGGCCTTGTTTTTGGAAATTAAATTCGATATTAGTTTGGGGGCTCAGAGTACTGAGCAATCAAATCTTGATACAGACTGGCATCTGCCACGCACCCAGAATCTGTCTTTAAGGGCCGATGTTAAATAGTGAGATTCCTAAGTGCCTGTAGATCGTTTTTGAGTTCTCGTGCTTGTCCAGGGAATTGAACTTTCGTTTTTGGAGAACACTCTCAAAGCCTCCTGCCTGGCTTCCTTTATGGAGGTGGAGGTGAGAAGTCTGTTTACTCTGTTCTCAAAAGCATATAGGAAACCGAGCTTTGGTGCAGCCCTGCCAGGGGATTTCACAGGGCTCCCATCATCCTCGGGAGAGGCCTGCCTTCCCAGCTCGGCTGCTGACGAGCTCCCCACGCCCTCCAGCCCTCCTCACCTCCAGGACGGAGGGCTTCTGACCCTCCCACCCTGCAAGGGCACGGGGGTGGACACAACCCAGCCCAGTACTTGCCAGGGGGGAGACAGAGCCAGCCATGTGCTGCCTCAGGCCCGGCGGGTCTTCCCAAAGAGCAGGGTTCCTTGTGTTCTGCCGCAGCCCGGTCTGAATTTGCCTACCTCCATGCCTCTGCCATTCCCTTCAGCATAACGTAGTGGGCAAAGCCTGAGCCTGCCACCTAGCACATATTAGGCATTTAATAATCATAGCGCTTTCTCGTTGCATCACGTGCCTAAAGGGGGCCACAAGTTAGCAAGTAAGAACCATTCAGTGTGATGTGCGTTGCAGAGTCACGGGCAGAGGATACAGCGGAAGAACCCAGCCGGGCTTGGAGCCAGCAACCTGAGGCGGCTTCCTGTAGGAAAATGCCTGAGTTGGAGCAGGGCTAAGAAAAGGTGTTCTTTTCCAGGCAGAGGGCTCATCATATAGGAAAGAGTCATGAAAGATCCCTGGGCATTCTGGGACCTAAAAGAAATCCAATATTGTTCAACTGCAGGTTTTGAAGAGACCTGAGAGAGAGGAGGGGTGGGAGTGCCGCGGATGAGACTGGAGAGGCAAGCGAGTACAGGACCACGAGAGCCCTGCATCCCCCTGAGAAAGCTGGCCTTAATGGGCTGCGGAAAGACTTAAAACTCGGGAACAGTGTAATGAGAGCCTCAGCTTAGAATCTGAGACCGGTGGGTGAAAACCATGAGGGGTTTTGCAGTATTCCAGCAAGGAATGCTGAGGGCTGGGTGAGAGCAGCTCCAGGAAACTAATGCAGGGGCTTCTTGAGTTTGTGGTGCTTATGGAACATGCTAGGGTGGCTAGTTAGTGGGCAGTTGCACATGAGGTCTGGAAGCCAGCGCCTGAGTAGAGGCTGGAGTGAAGGTGTGTGGGTGTCATCTGCATAGAAGGGGAGAGTGTGCTGACTGGGAAGACGTGAGGGCCGGGCTCAGGATTCAGAACGAGAGCGTTGAAGGGAGAAACTGGGGAGGAAGAGGAGAAGCCCGGGAGAAGCAGAATCCCGAGGTGGAGGACATCAGGAGGGCGGTGTGAGAGCCAAGGGCAGAGTCCCGGCTGCAGACCACCCGCCAATAGGAGATGCTCTGTGTCCACGCGCTCCGGCGAGGGGAAGGTCATGGGCATGGGGAGGGTGTTTCGCCGTCCAGCAGGGGGATGTGCTGCACCCCTTCAGACCTCCCCCAGCCTCCCGAGGCTGGGCCCAGGCCCCCGTTTAAGATGCTCCTCAGAAGACTGGTGAGGGCACAGCTCGTCACTGTCGACCAGGGAAGTCCTGCCTGACCAGCAGTCGGGCCTCGTGGTGAGCAGGCAGAAATAATTCTACTCCTCTCTGCGCAAATGCTCAGATCAAGGAAACCAACTGGCCAATCAGCAGTGTTCTCGCCGTGGGAGGTGGCCTCTGACGTCTGCGTGCCGCGTAGTGGAGCCCACGTGGGGGCCGCACGCGCTCCGGAGCGCCGCCCGCTCCGCACGGTCTCCGGCCCAGCGGTGGTGGAAACCGGACTCCGCAGGCTCTGGCACATCGGTCTTGAGTCAGGGGATAGATCTAGAAGCTGGGCCACTTAAGCCGGATCCACAGTGGCCTGCGTCCTGGGGTCCAGGAGTGCCCTCAGGCTGCCGCGACGACGGCCGGGGTCCGAGGCAAGCGAGGAGGCGCCACACGGCGCTCCCCCATCACGGCTCGCCTTCTCCTGCCGGCCCTGGTCCTCGCCAAGTCCCCAGCCCCGGCCACCAGCGCCTCAGGACCAGCCTTTCGAAGTCACCGGAACATTCCGAGGTGAGCGCCTAGGCTTACAGCCCCTGCTTCCTCCGCGTGCGGCGCAGCCACCTGGGGAGGGCGCCCCAGAACGGCCTGAGGACGCTGCTCAGCGGGCCCGGCCCGGTGCGCTGCCTGGCGTCCCCCGCCAGGGCCCCGGGAGAGCCCCGCGCCGCCGGCTCGGCCCAGCGAGCGTTCACTTCCGCGCCGGAAGCCCCGCGACGGCAGGAGATGGGGCCGCCCTTCGCGTCTCTCCCCGCGGGTCTCCTCCCAGCCCGCGAGGGCCTCCCCTTACCCGGGCTGCTCGCCTCCTGCTCCTCCGGCCTCGGGACCTGCAGCCCCCGCCACTGCCTTACCGCGTGGGCGCCATCCTGCCCTCCTTCCCGGGCTGCTCGCTCCGCTGTGAATCTCAGCTTCTCGTCCCTTCTTCCCTCTGGGTTGTTTTGTTATTTTCCTACCTTTTCGTTGGAATATTTACCTTTATTTCTGTTTGATTTTGTAGGACACATTCAAGTTATCCATTTTCTCGCGGGAATATTCCTTCAGCCCTGACGGCTGTGTGGTGAGGATTGTTTCTTTTCCTCCCTCCACCGCGGATGCTCTGGGGCGAGGGGAGCTCTCTTTTCGGTTGAAAGTGGTTTCATTTTTACCCTCCTGTTCTTCTCTTTGCTAGTGATCTTTCGTTTTCTTGCATTACTGTCGGGGACTATGGCTTATGTAAATTTCTATATCGGAGCATTTTTCTTCTATTATTTCTTCTTCTCTACTCCGTTATTTCCTTCTGGAAAACCTGTTGTGCGATCTCCCCAACAGATACTCTGTGATCTTCCTTTTTATCATCCTTGTTATTCGTCGTTTTCACCTCTTTATATTTTCTTCTAAGGGCTCAGAGAATTTCTCGAGGTATTAGTTTGGCTTTCTGTAACATCCAGTACACTGTTCACTGCTTCTGTGGAGCTAAGAAACAATGAGTAATGTTTTACTTCTAGAAACAGTATTTTAAACATTTCAGATGGTTCTCTTTTCATAGATGAAATTTCCTCCCTAGTGTCTTTTTTTTTTTGCGGTACGCGGGCCTCTCACTGTTGTGGCCTCTCTCGTTGCGGAGCACAGGCTCCGGACGTGCAGGCTCAGCGGCCATGGGTCACGGGCCTAGCCGCTCCACGGCATGTGGGATCTTCCCAGACCGGGGCACGATCCCACGTCCCCTGCCTGCATCGGCAGGCGGACTCTCAACCACTGCGCCACCAGGGAAAACCCCTCCCTAGTGTCTTTGAGAATATAAAGTTTTCTTCTTTCTGGGAGAAGATCAATTTCACAGGAAAATGCTTGTTCACATAAGCCCCCTTATTGTAGGTTTCTGAATCTTTTTATAAGTTCAACTATTTTTCTCCATAATTTATTGGATTTGAGGTGGATTTTGTTAGAAACTGTGTTAAAAGATTTCAGTCTCACACAAAGGAGTAAAGAGGAAACTTTATGTTTTCTGTAATTGAATTTTGTTTCACTGGAGGCTCCGTGATCCACAAAGGAGAGGGTTGAAGCCATGTTGGAAAGAACACAGCCATAAAAGTCTGCTATGCTCCGAAGTGCGGCACTCAGGGTGCTTCTGGAGGCCGTTCGTGGACATTGGGCTTTTGCCAGTAAATTCAGGGCTTGTCCTGACACCCTACACTAGGGTGAGGGGTAGGGGGTACAGCCATAGAGGTGGCTGGGCAGTGTGGTAATGTGTGTCTGGGTGCCTGGGTGTGTCTGCACGTGTGTCTGTGTGTATTGGCCGGGGTGCTGCAACCTTTCTCTAACTGCTGCCGCCGCCTCCATGAGAGGCCCTTATAGAAATATCCCCGTTTTACTAATCATAGTGTCCCTTGCAGATTGGCCCTGGGGATGGATGCCAACTCGGGGCTCTCCACCAACGTTTCCTAGAGCCTTTCCATCGGCCCCCATGCCCAGCCCTGGCCAGTTCCTGGGAAACTAGTGGTTCCACTCCAACAGCCTCAGGTAGAAAATTATGTCCCGGCTCTTATTTTTCCCTTTTGGAATTTGTGGGAGCTAACTTCTGTGACCTGACATGGCCAGGTTTTTGTTAAGAAAAGTTTTATCCCATATCTTTTTAAATGACTTTCTGTTTCTCAGTAATTACAGATTTACAGGAAGTTGCACAAACAGTACAGAGAGGTCCCCTGTACCCTTCCCCAGTTTCCCCAGTGGTTACATCTTAGATAAACATATTCAGTATCAAAACCAGGAACTTGATGTTGGTACAATGTGTGTGTATATGCCATACTTTTAAATATTCAAAGGTAATGAAAATATCCGTTTCACCCCCAGGTGCCTCCCCCTTAGTCAGTCCGCAGCGCCCTGAGTCACTGCGGGCGCTGGGCCTCTGAACCCTCCCCGGGCTCGAGGTTGCCTCCTGTGTCACTAGGTGGTGAGCCTGAAAGCCGGCCCGGCTTTCTGTCCTCACGGCTCTTGACCTTCGCTTCACCACACATGCTCACACTCCAGGGCCAGGCTTGGTGTTTGGAGCCCCCAGCCAGCGCAGGGCACCAGCCCTCACTCCTCCCTCACAGTGGCCCCCCAACGGTCCTCCCTCACAAATGACCTCGGTCCATTAGAGGTGTTTAGTAATAGGAAACCTAAGTGGTCCTGGCTTTCCTCCAGCTCGCCCAGGCCTCTCCTGAGCCCCCGGGGCCCCGCTTTCTCATCCTCCCCTCAGTGAACGCCGGATCCTGAGTTTGCCCACGGCCGCCCAGCACCACACTGGCACCTGTCTCCAGACCTGAGTCCCAGGGGCGGGAGCTGAGAGTCATTCCACACAAGGCCTGGTCCCTGGGGATCAAAGGTAAGCTCTCAGAGGAAACAGGAAGGTCCTCCAAGGAAATCCTGCAAAAGGAGTATAGTTAAGAGAGTGGGATGACCCCAGTTCATAGCTGTATGTTTTCTCATGAGCTTATTGTTCGTTTATTGAGTTTACTGTTACAGAGGAAAAAAAGCAACATTTCCTCTTTCTTAAAAGGTGTCCTGTGGCCATTGGTAAGCTGGGGTTTCCCTGGCTTTCCCCAGAACAAAGAGCCCTCCTTCCAGTGCCTGGAAGTGAGGAGGATCTGTCTTCTCGAGAAGGACCAATCTCTGGGCCCAGCCCGAGGATGTGGTAGCCACTATGGCCAGGCCCTGCTCAGAGACGGGAGGGCACAAATGCAGACGTGTCACCAGGGGAGGACATGGTGGAGGGCGTTGATGATGCAACGAGGTTTCTTTTGAGAGGGATGGTCTGAGTGACCACAGGTAATGAACAGCTCCAAGCCTTCCCAAGGAGACCCCTCTGAATAGCACTCACTGCACGTGGAGGGAGGTGATGGGTGCAACTCTGTGCAGTAAACAGAGTCTCATCAGTATTCCATGACTCGTGAGTCTGCAATAACCCAAAGGCACCAGAAATGTTAATAATACCAGTAGCAGGAAAACCTCAGTAATGAACCTGGAACTGGAAAGTCTGCCCCAACACTGGAGAGGGTAGAGATGGGACACCTAACCCTTGTGTACTCTTGCCACCGTTCCGGCTTCCCCCACCAGGCCATCGATGCTTCCAGCAGCCCTGGGAGGGAGCTGTGGGCCCAGCCAGGGCCCTTGGTTGCCAGTGGCAGAAACCGACGTGGGCTAATTCAAGCAGAGATGCGATTTATTAGAAGGATATCAGGTGGCTCACAGAATCAACAGAAAGAAAACCAGGCTCAGCAAAAGGGCAGAGACCACAGGAGGGTGGCAGCTGAGAACACACCAGCCATGCCCCTGGACCAGTGCCCACTCAGACCTTGCTGCCAGAATCGTGCCAAGGCAGTGGAGGGACACTGGCAAGGGGACGGGCTGCGTTGTGGCAGAGTGGACCGTGAAAGCTGTGTGCCCCTCCGTGTGGCTCTCTGCCCACGGGGCTCTCGCGGTTCGGCGGATGGGGAGGGACACACTGTGCTCCAGGTGAAGTGTGGCCAGAAGGAATTCTTTCTCTGCCGACGCGTCAGGCAGCTCCTCGGGTTAACGAGGCTTCTGTGGGCGCGGGTGCTTCACTGGGAGGGCGGCGTGGGTGGTAATGGGGGCTCTCGGGCGCTCCTGGATGGGGCTCAGGACTCGAAGTGGGTGCAGGGTGCGTGGATGACAGAACAAATGGGGCCCCCTAATAAGGGGGAGAAAGCAAGTTATTTGGGGAAGACTCAGAGAATCCTGAAGAGTAGAATTCTGACAGCGGGTGAAGACGTGGTCCAGAGGACTCGTGGGGACAGACAGGTGTCGAGTGTCGTGCGGATGAGGGTGTTCTTGACAAAGTGAAGCAAGCAGGCAGTCGTTAGAGCGCGGCGACGGCCGTCACTTGCGTTCCCTGGCAGCTTTGACGGCTTCTAATCATCCTGCCCCTGCAGTTACCCTCGGGAGCAAGCTGGGCCTCCAGCCGAGCCTTCCCAGCCCGCAGACTAAGTGAGGAAATGAGAGCCAGGATGTTCAACGTGCCTCTAAGACTCATCGGAGCAATTAGAAGTTTCCAGAATTGCCTGGAGAAGAGAAGGCCAGCAGGTGAGGACGGGGACGGAGGTGCCGAGGGTGCAGTCAGTGGTGGCTGTGAGGGACGAGGAAGCAAGGGCAGCGATCCCAGCCGCAAGGGTGGGGGAGGCGGGGAAAGGCCCTCCCACGGGCGTCCCGGGAGGGGGCCCGCTGCTCAGCGGCCACCCGGGGGGGTTGGCTATTCAAGTTAAAGGCCAAAGCAGCGTCCCATCGGGGCCTGCAGCTGGCTGAGTCTGGGGAGGCCTTGGGATTTCCAGGCCCCATCACAGCGTTCGCAAGGCCTCTCACCCCCGCCGCCCAAGGGGAGCAGCCCTTTTGGGGGGCGGGGGCCTCCGTGGGAGCTGGGCTGGGTGAGTGAGGGGGCGGGTGGCGCTGGCCTTCAGCCCTTGTGCCGTCCAAGGGTTAGGACTCGTGCACTTCCTCCCACTGCAGAACAGGGACTGATAAAGTCTCATGTATGAAATCAAAGCAAACAGGAACCTGTTTGTAAAAGATGCGGAAAAGAGAGAGCCCAGAGGAGAGGCCAGAGCCCTGCGCACTGGGACATACAGCACTTGTCAATCAAACGCAGAGCGACTTTCAGAGAGCCGGCGGAAGGCAGCCCCGTGCCGGCCGCCCTGTGTGCGCTGCCGGCGCCTCTGTCCCGCAGGCCCCGCAGACGCTCCCATCCGGGGACGAATCAGCCTTCCAGAGGGCAGTCAAGGGCCCTCTGCTGGAACTTGGTTAGCAACTGAGCCCTCAGGTGGCTTCACGTGGACGCCGCTAGACGTGGGCAAAAGCCGGGGAGGCGGTGGCTCCCCTCGGGGGCGGACAGGCTGCCTCTTCCTCCCAGGCGGCTTTCCTCCCCTTCCCGCTGCCCTTTCTCTCTGACAGCACCCCTCAGGCTTCGCCACGTAGTCCAGGTGTGCGTTTGTGTCAGTGACCGTATCCGGAAGGGGGGCCAGGGCGGGGACAGTTCCCTCACTGTGAACTTCAGGGCCTGGCGGCGCCTGGCAGGGAGCGCGTGCAGCTCCAGCGGGCGGTGGCACAGGTTTTGTCCCCGCTGGACTAACCGGGAGGAGTTCCTTTGAGGAACATGCTTCTCATAGGGCAGACGGGTTTCTCGCCTCCTGTTTTTAACGTGGTCTACATTTAGGAAGAATTTGGTCCCTGAATGCTCCTTCTCTAAGTCTTCTCGGTGTGGTCTTCCTCCACCTGCTGGGGGTCCGCACCACTTGGAGTCATGTGGAAGCGCCAACCCCTGCCGCTTCTTTACCTCAAACGCGCCTGGTCTGCGCCTGTCCTCGGACCGGTGCCACCTGCCCTACCGCTCGGAGAGAGGTGGCCCCGGTTGGCCTGGGGCTGTGTAACGCCATCGCAGGGCTCCCGGGTCCTCTGTGCTGCCGCCTTTGCCCCATGTCCCCATCCAGTGCCCCATGAGCCCATCCTCCGCCCTTGCTCCCGGCTCAGGGCTCCTGCCCGGTTTTTCCACCTAGACTCGTGGGGAGGCCCTGGGAACTGGGAGCTGGCCCTTTGGTGTCAGGAAGGGAGGGCGAGTCTTACCCAGCAGGGGGAGGAGGAAACCAAGTGGAAAGTACTTCCCACCCGGTTCTCCCTCGTCTGAATCTGGGGCAGGGAATTGGGATGTTGGAAAAGTGAAACTCTAGATAGTCCCAGGAACAAGAAGGTGTGGAAACAAGGAAGAGGCACCAGGTACCAGAAACCACCCGAATGAACGAAAATCCAGTTAGGGTCTATTCATCACTTGAACCAGGTACAAACAGGCCTGCAGGCTGCCCTTGACCTTGAACACCGTTGTCTTATTCTGCAGTGTCTGCCGACAGGCTGAACTCCTGGGTGCAGGACCCAGAGCCACTGTGTGGATGCTGGGCACGGTGGGGCTCCGGGCGTGAAGGACAGCCTTGACTGAGCCCCTGACCCCGCAGCTACTGGTAATGGGGCGCAGCAGCGTTAGCACATAACCTCACAAATACTGATTTCCGTCACTCCCTGCAGCCTCCCTTCCACAATCCAGTCTTCCTTCCGTGCCCTTTTCTTAAAGTAAGAGGTTAAAGAATGTGTCCATTGTAGAAAATTTGAAAGTATGGGAGCATAGAGATAAAATTTTTAAATAAAAATTACCTCCAATTCTGGCACTCAGAAATATCTACTTGAATAAAGTGTTGAATTTTATAAGCAAATTTTAAAATTTATTACACCATGAGCCTTTTCATGTCAGTAATTTTTCTAAAATTTGAATCTTAGTGGCTGCCTAGGGCTCCATTTATTTCACCAGTCCCCTGTTGTTGGACATTTATGTCTTTTTCCAAATTTTCACCACCATAAAAAATGCTGCAGTGAACATCCTAGAAGATAAATCTTTTTGACTATCTCTAATTAATTAAGATAAATTCCTAGAATAAATTCCTGTAAAAACAATGTATCAAGTGGGATAATGCTATTTAAAGCTATTTGGACACATCACCAAGGTACGCTCCGGGGAAATCACATCTTTGAAAATCCCAATGGACGTGTACAAAGGGTCCAGTTCCTTGAACCCAGCCAGCACTATCTTTTTCCCCCCAAAATTTGATAGACAAAAAAGACCTTTTATTGTTTTGTTTTCATTTCTTTGTCAACAAGATTGAATATTTTAAAATATGTTCTCAACTCACTTATATTTTGTCTTTTGGAAAATTTCAATTTGTATCCTTTGTCAATTTCTCCACAAGATTATTAATCTTTTATAAAATTGTTTCTGACTTCAGTCTCCTTATCTGCAAAAAGGATCACTTGGACCAAATGACCTCTTGACCCCAAGGTTATTTCAAAGAGCGCAAATCTTCCTCTCTGCTGTCACCCTCCCCTCATCAGCAGCCTGCCCAGGTCTCTAAACCTATTAGCATAGCTCCAGGAAAACTTGAATTTCAAATGTCTGCCTGGGTTGAGTTTCACAGTTGAATAATCAAGTCAGGTGGCTAATCAGACCCACAGGTGTGAGTGGGAGCCAGTCCCTCCCTGAGGAAAGGACCAGGCTGAGGTCTCTGCCTTTCACACCAGCTGGGAGTGGGCAGTTCTAACTTGTGCAGAAATGCCTAATGGGGGCCAACCTCCCCCACTTACTGGTTGAGGAAATGATGATATATCCATGCAAGGGACTTAGATGTAGATGTAAATTTTGTGACATGGAAGAATTTATTTTTAAATAAGAAAAGTAGATTCCAGAAGAATGAAAGCCCTTTCATATGTGCTCACGTGCACACTCAGAGAACACGATCTGGAAGCATATTCTGCAATATATTAACAATTTCCATCACTAGGAGGTCGGGCTACCAGTTTTGTTTTGTTTTGTGGTACGCGGGCCTCTCACTGCCGTGGCCTCCCCCGTTGCGGAGCACAGGCTCCGGACGCGCAGGCCCAGCGGCCATGGCCCACGGGCCCAGCCGCTCCGCGGCACGTGGGATCTTCCCGGACCGGGGCACGAACCCGTGTCCCCTGCATCGGCAGGCGGACTCCCAACCACTGCGCCACCAGGGAAGCCCCAGGGCTACCAGTTTTTACTTGGTTCTTTTAATCTGTACTTTTCGACACAAATGTGAATATCGCTCAGGGAGCAAGGCCACTCCTCTCTCTCTCTTTTCCTTTCACATGTTGCCTACAGTGGACACTGAGGCAGCTGCCCACTGAAGTCACGTCCCCAGGGCCAGTGTGTCATCAGCTTCAGGCGGCTCTGGGTGGAACCTCATTACACTGCCTGCCAGGTCCTGTCAGGCCTTGTCGGGCCCGGAAAGCTGGCCCGCAGAGGCCCCACTCCCGTACATGGACTGGGCTTTCTTCAGGAAGAATGTTCTCCCACTGGCCTTTTGTGGCTCTCTGGGCCTGGAGCTACAGCCCCCTGAAGTAGGGGGTCCCCGGGGGCATGGGAGCAGAATTGAGTGCCCTGCTCTTCAGTCTGCACTCCCGGGCCAGCAGGAAAACATGGTCCGGGAATTTACCACTGACCTGCCTGGCATACTCTCCCCGCCCCCTCGCACACGCGTGTGCACATGCATGCTTCTCTAGGCAGACTCAGGCAACCTCTCGGGCCTGGGGTCTCTCGCTGGCTCTCCCAGGCTGGTTTCCCAAGGACCTAAAACAGCTGTTTTGTTGTGACAGGTGAAGTCAAGGCTGCAGCTGGGTCGAGGAGGGAGCGCTGCTGGTGAAAGAGAAGAATCTAGGTAGTCCTGCACTGCTGTCCATCCTCCTGCATGCCCAGAAGTGGAGTGGACTGGCAGACATCCATTAGCTTTAGGCTGCCTTCAGCGGAAGACGTGGGGATCGAGCACCTTTGTAAGTATGCGAGTCAGGGCTCACAAGTGCAAGTCTGCTTAGGGCTGGCCGCCGCTGGCTGGTGGCCACTGCCCTGCGGCCTCGGTTCCCAGACAAGCCTCCTTAATGCAGGACCTGGGGTGGGATGCCTCAGCTCAGGCTCAGGGTCATAGCAGACAAAATGCCCCTTCCAGACACCAAGAGGCAGCTCCCCAAATTCAGAGTGTGGGAAGAGAGCTGCAGGCCGGGGCTGGGGGAGCAGGGAGAGCTCGGGGCTCCAGGGAAGAGAGTGACGGGTACTTTTACAAACACATATCACTGTCAAGGTTCAGAACTGTTAACACCTGGGATTCTTGTGATGGCTCAGAGAAAGCCCCCCCCCCTTTTTTTAAGCCCTTTTAAATAATTCTTTAAATTTAAGAAAACCCAGTTTTCCAGTTCCACGTGGATAAATTGCAGGGGGCGGGTGTTGGAGTCAGAAAGACCTTGAGCAAATTAAACTTCCAGTGTTTAAACACACCTCCAGTGTGCTTGTTTGTGAATGGGAACTCTCATATGGGTCTCAGATTAAATGGGGTGATGTTTGTGGGTCCTTTGCTCAGTGCCTGGAATGGCAAGAGCTCAGTAAACAGTCACTCTCTCCTCCTGTTGCCTGGGAATCAGAACCAGGAAAAACCCAGGGGGGCCCAGTGTCGAGGTCAGGTGGACAGGGCAGGACTGTGCACCTGCCAGGGCAGCCCTGGGCGGTGACAGAGAGTGGAGATCAGCTCCTGGTCTAGCGGGAGTGTGTTCAATGAGAAATAGGGCAGTTGGTCAAATAATGATAATCATGACAAAATCAGAGACTAACAGGCAAAGTGATCTGGGAGTCCAAGGAAGGAGAGTCAGTCATTTATTACTTATGTATTTATGATATATGTATTATATATTGCATATTACATACATATATGCCTGGAATACGATAGATGATAGACAGACAGACAGATGAAAGATGTCTGGTGTGAACCAGGAGCTGTGTTCATAGTGTGAACAAAGCAACTTAGATACTCTGCCCTCAGGGCTGCTCAGCAAAGTGGGGGAGACAATGAACAGGGAGGTGAGTGAAAAAACAATCACACATGGGAGCCCATACTGTAAAGGGAAGATACTGAGGTGACACAAGAGGATGAACAGGAGGTTCCCATGTCGGTGTATCAGAGAGGGCTCCTCTGAGGAGGTGACATAGTCAAGCCCAGAGGGCACCGTGGGACAAGTGGGGAGCAGCCCCAAGCGTGTGGGAAGCAGTTCACCAGTCAGAGACCACAGGGCAAGAGCTGGCCAGGGGCCACGAGCGAGGCTGGAGAGGCCATGGGCCTGAGAGAGCATCATCCCCCTCAGGAACCTGCAAAGCCTTGGGGGGTCCAGACAAAAGTCTTAGGGCAAATGGGTCAGAGGTCTGCACCAGGGAATGCTCACTCGTTCGCTGTTTTTATCTGTAGCTGCTTTTTCATCCAGGGCCACTGCAAGAGCAGTTACATGGTACCGCGTTTGCCCCACGTCACCACCAGGAGGGTGCTGCCGCCATGCCCTTCAGAGCTGGAGCCCCCCAGGCCGCTGGGCCAGGAGATGCCACTGTCCGGAAGATGTCGCTCAGACGCCACCTGACAAGGATCTCCTCCTTGTCCTCCTTCCCTTAACTCCACCTACCCTTCAGCTTCACAGCTGCTGGCCTCCTGGTATGCAACCCCCCCTTCCCCCATGCGCCTCTGCTTTGGGTACGTGGCCAGTTATCTGCAGCCCCTGAGTCTTCGTTCGGGAACTTTACACGTATTCAACTCTCTGGCTCTCGTTGAAAATCCATCCCTACAACCTTTTTTCCTGCCTCCCTGGGCCTACTGCCCATTTGTCTGGTCTCCACGGCGAAGGGCACCTCTAATGGATGCGCAGTTCCTATGAGGTCAGACCCGGGCCTCTTGTCACCTCCCTGCCTGCACACACCCCCCATCTCACTGGCAGCTGCCTCTTCCCCCAAATGACCCACATACATCGATGGTCTAGTTTCATCTTCTAAAATTCCTTTCCCTCCTCTTCTCTTGTTTTCTGCCCAGTTTTAAGTATCCCTAAGATGGTTTACTAGAACCTTTCCTGATCTGCTCTGGACCCTGGTCTCTTGACAGTGGGGATTGGGGATTAAGGATGGCCAGGGATGTGGCTACGCTGTGCAGGGGATGCGGGTGTGATGACCTGACTGGAGGGCGAGGCTGCTCTGTGCACCATCAGGAAGGGCATGGGCTGCGGTGGCGGCTTAGTCGGATTGGAATCCCCAAGCAGCCACTTGTTAGGTGTGTTCAGTGAACAATTCCGAAGCACCTACTGTGATGCAGGTCCTGGGAGTACATTCTTGGATCATACAGTCTCTGTCTTCTTGTAGCCTTTGGGCTGGTGGGAATAGGGTCACCACATTTAGCAATAAATATACAAAATGGTCAGTTAGATGTGAGTTTCAGACAAATGATGAATTTCTCTTTAGTGTAAAATTCAATATTTGTTGCTTATCTGAAATTCAAATTTAACTGGACATCCCGTATTTTATCTGACAACCCTGAGTGAGATGGAAAGAAAACAAATAAGTAAATACAGAAGTAACGTAATTCCAGGATTCTGGTGGATAACTGGGAAGAAAAAGCCAGTGTTCTGTGAGAGCATCCCAAGGGGCCAACTGGATGGTGAGAGATGGGCTCCAGGAGTCTGGCAGCCTGGGAAGGAGCCTCTATTTGCAAAGCCCAGGGGTGAGCATTCCAGGCAGATGGAATAGCAAATGCAAAGGCCCTGAGGTGGGAAAGAGTTTGACATGATCCTCTGTCAACAGGCCCGTGTGACTGGATGGAGGGGCTGGTAGGCAGGTGTGTACGACTTGATGACATGATCGACCGGGCCACATTGAGTAAGGTACTCAACAAATTATATCATGAGTTATTAATAATTACGATTTTTAAAGTCAGTCAAATATGAATTCCAAACATTGTGTGGAATACTCTTTCAGTCACCTAACTGCCATACTTAACTTTCTATAAAGAGGCCATTTTAGTGCATATGGTACTGAATACCATCCAGCCAGGCATAATATATTTGCCTTACCTTTAAAAGTTCTCTTAAAAAATTAAGCTGCAGAATATTGTCTGAAATCCCTTTTTCCATCATAAGACATTAAAAAGTCAACCAGGACACTCCCCCGCCCCCGCCACCAGTGACACTAGGGAAGTTATAAATCACAGGTGTCAGTCAGCAGAGACACGGGGCTTCTGCTGGCCCCTTTGTACTCCCCTGACAGCCCACATCTGGTGTGTGACTTGGGGCTTGTCACTTGACCTCTCCGAGAACTGCTCATCTGTAAAACAGGAATAAGGATAACACCTTGACGCAGAGGGTCATCGTGAGGGTCCAGGAAATAATGTCAGTCAGTTTGTAAGGCATTGAAGGTCACAAGAAAAGCGTGGCCTGACTGCTGTTTATACCATAGTCGTCCCAATTATCACCTCCCTCAGCTAAAAGAGAAGGAAAGGCAGTCAGAGTTAAATCACATGCCCAAGGATTCCAAGCAGTCCAGAAAAGTCATCTTCCTGCTTCATTTTTCTGTGCAGGTTACTTTCAGCCTGCTGAGGCGGGGAGAGATGATTGAACAAACTGCTTGTGAGCACTGAGGTAAGATTTAGTGCAGGGACACGTGTCTACAATGTAGCTTAACCTCTGAAGGTTCAATGTCAGTGGACAGTGCTGACCCTCCTCGCATGCAACCATGATTGAAGGCCACAGCAGAAGCCTTCTTCTTCAGCTGCTAAGCCAGGTTTATGTCACAAAATCCCACCAACAGTAGGGACTGGAGGTCTCTGTCTCAGGCAGAGCCTGCTCTCGGTGGGACACGGTGGTCAGGGGCCCCGGGGCTGGCCCCAGAGCTTAACTCCATGACCCATTGGCCCTGTGAGGCTCGGTTTTCTCCTCTGCCACTTGGGGCTGGGGCGGTGCTGTCTACGTCACAGGGAGGTGGCGTGGGTTCAACGCGATGGCATGTGGCTAACATGCTTAGCACAGCGCCTGGAACCTGGAAACATTCAGCAAAAGCCAAGGGCAAAGCCAGCGCCACCTTCAAGGTCGCCCAGGTTGTTGGGGGAGGCGTCATGCACAATATCACCATTGCTGAGCGTGAGTGTGTGCTCGTGTGTGCAGATGGCCTGAGCCACAATCAGGGCAGGTCCCAGAGGTCCCCAAATCCTTTCCTGCCCCGTTGCTGACGCCTGGAAGGCAGCGTCAGCTGCCCATCCCCTCTGTTTGGGCTCTGACCCTGCACTGAATTCTGTCTTCAGCCCTGTGAATCCTGGTGTGAACATCAGGTGCCTGAATATGGGCTGGGCCTCCGGAGGGGGTGAGGGCTGGGGGCACTGCTGGCCTCTGGTTGCCAGTCGAGGTGCAGCCACTTCCTAGGGAAGTGAGCCACACGGGAGGAGAGCGCAACCTTTTATTTTTGCTGCACCTCAAAAGAAAACTTTACATTTGAAATTAACAGCATGTCTGCTGCCAGTATTTGTGGTTACTACCTGTAACATAAATCTCTTTTAGAGATGTGTGAGAACAGCATACATAATGAAATATCAACATGAAGCTTGATTTAAAGTGGCTTTTCATTAATATAACAAATGAAGTGTACCAAAGTTTGAAAGTATATTCCTTTGGGCCTAATTAAAACACTGAACAGAATACATGTATATGTATGTTTTAAACGAAGACATTCAGCGGCCAGAATCCGCTACAAAAATTAATTCATATCGAAAAGTGCACTGTGCTCGCGTGGTCGTTACTAACCTAGCCCATCCTCTTCCCTGAGATGTCTCCGATTTAACACCTGCATGAGGTGTCAGGGGAGTTTTGCTTTAAAAATATCACCCCCTACACAGCGGCGCGCCTCACGGGGCTGCCTTTTGGTCAGAGAGTTTTCTGTGCGCCTTGGAAGGCTTCTGAGAACTGGATGTCCTCTGAGTGAGGAGAATGCCCTTGGCCTTCGGTCTGTGGCCTCTGCCTGGGAGGGCGGGGCTGGAGCTGGGAAGCAGCGGGCTCCCTCCAAACGGAGAGGAGCGCTGACTAGAGGGGCCTGGACCACCCACGGTGGCGTCCAGGTATAGGAACCTGGGGGCGGCTAGGGGATGGTGGGGAGACGGGGGTGAGGAGAGTGGCCATGTGGCTGAGCACTGTGGCCCCACCCCTGGATTGAGGGCGGGGAGTAGATGCGGCATCTGCCGTGACCCTCACCTCCACCCTTTGAGGGCAGTGAGCTCAGGGGTGCCCTGGAAACCCAGCGGAGGCCCCAAGAGTCTGTACTCCGAGGCCGGGGTGAGAAGGGGGCGTGGGGAGGGCAGTGACTCCCTGGTGACGATTTTGTTCAGGGGCAAAAGATGCCTCAGAGGCCAGGCTGCCTGACCGACCGAGAGACCTCTCATCCATCCACGTGTCCCCTCAGCCATCTGGGACCAGGCCTTGCTACCAGGCCGTGGAGCCGGACTTCTTAACACGACCCTCTGGAACAGGATGGGCCTCTATACTTGCAGGGAAATACCTCCCGGCCCAGTGAGGCCTCGAGGGGCGACAGGGCCCAAGTGGCGAGTGAAGTGGTGTGTGTGTATGTGGACACACGTGCTGTGTGTAGTGTGAGGATGCAGCCTTGGAAAGATGGACTCTGCAAACAGTGACCGTGTCTGTGCTGGTCAACTGGTGACCTAGAGCTTCCATGAGGGGCAAGTGGTTAGCCTCTCTGTTCCTTACCTGTACGTGGAGACACCAGTAGTACTCTCCCCACAGGATCCGTGTGAGGGTTGAATTCAGTACTTCACGTGAAGTGTTGTTCCTCAGAGCAGTAAGCATTTCATGATGGTTCATTATTCTTATTATTCTGTAAGTTACGGGCTCCTAGTTCAGTCCCTGGGGACTGTTAGGAAGTGAAGGACCACACTAATATCTCAGATTTGTATAGCGCTTTATAATTTACACGTGACTTTCACAGACCTTATCTCCTCTAAACGTGTGATGATGTAGGCAAGGTGCTGGGTTGTTATTCCTCCCTTCTCGGAGGAAACACGCTCAAAGGGTCTGGACTTGCCCTGCATCACACAGCCTCTAAAGGGTGGGATGCAAGTTCTGGTCTGAGTTTCAGCCTTTGAACCATTTGGCCCTCCACCCTGGGGCTGGGAGAGGAGCTCCCATGGGGAACCTCAGAAAGCTGTACAGAACTTGCAGAACTTCACAGGCTGGGGAAGAAGAAAGTGAGCGAGGTGGGGCGGGCACTGATGGCAGAGTGAGCCCAGCCAGGACTGTCCCCTCCAAACACTTGGACCAGGTCAAGAACAGGCTCTACTTCCATGCAGCGGTGACTGCATATCTCCCTGGTGATGGGAGGACCCAAGGCCCCAGGTCAAACCTCTCCCTTTCTGGGTGATTTATCAGAAGGCTGGTGGCTGCTACCAAAAGCTCTGTATTTAACTGGAAGCATATTAACAGGCACGTGGTAAAGAGTTCTGGGCCATGGGAATCCTTAGATCTCAAGTTGTCATACGTGGCCTTTTGCGTTGGAAGATGCTGTCATTTCCCACAAACACAAGCCTAGGGGAAAGTACAGTGCCAACCAGACCTTTTCCCCAGGCTGGCTCTAGGAAGAGGCCTTGCCGTGTGTAGTGGGCAGTGTTTATGTACCGGGTGGGGCTGTTGCTGGTCGTGACGCTAACACAAATGGTCTCCACAAACAGGCGAGCGAGCTCTCCTCTGCCGGCGATCATCCCGCCTTTGGTTCAGCAACAGTGAGTAACACCCTGTTGCTCCATGAGCACGATCTCCAAGGAATCAAGGTTCAGAGATGGGGGTCACACGGGGCTGGTGGTGGAGGGGTTGGGAAACCTGCCCGTTTGAGGAGATGTTGAGAAGAGGTCAAGGTGGAAAAGGTTGGTTGGGCCTCTTCTGTTGTGAGAGGCAGCGGCCTGATCCCAGCCTTCAAAGGCTAAGGGGACACGGGCATGTGTGGCACAAGAGGAGCTAGAGTTTGTTCTGGCGTGTGCGCAGGAAGTCCTCCTCAGCCCTGGGGAGGACACTTCAGAAGCTCTTTGCTCCTCAAGAAATGGTGGAGACAGGAAATGGAACTGGACGCCAAGGGCTCTTGGGCAGACTTAAGAACCGAGAAGAGAGGAGGTTTTTGAAGGGCAGGGGACTTAAAAGGGATATGCTGGCTTCCAAAGCACTGAGACAAAGGTCAGGTGGCCTGGTGAGCCGTCCAGCAGGGAACTCCAGACCGCTGGCCGGCTCCCAGCCTGGGGTGCGCTTGCTGCCCCTTGCCTTCACATCTGCTGTTCCCTTGTCTGGAACACCCCTCCTCTCACTCCTGGCCTTTGAGACTCAGCCTTCATTGAACATCATGTGGACGTGAGTGACACTTCAAGGAGAGAATTGGCAGGGTTTGGATCAGACTGGATTTGTGTTGAAAAGAGCAAGGGAGGGGAAGGTGTCAACCTGGGTCACATGTATTTGACGCTGGAGTAATTGGGGGTTGAGGCTATTGGAAGTAGTGGGGAAACTGGAGGCAGAGAGGCTCTCCTTCCTTTTGGATAGGAGAAGTTCCCCTGTGAGTGAGACAGTCATGGAAGACCACCTGGAGCCCCCCAGAGAGGGCTCTGTGAGGACTCAGGCCTGGGTGTGGTGACCTGGAAGTAACTCAGGTTGCTGGTGGCCAGGCCTGGGACGGAGGGGGAAGCACACAGGATGGGGAAATCAGGTTGAGGGTGGGTGTGGGACGCAAAAGCAGGCCAGGTGGGCAGGGATCAGGCCCCTCTCGCCTGGCAATTTTAACCTGGTCACATCAACCTTGGCTTTCTTCACTGCTCTGGAAGGGAACCCAAAGGCCCAGCATTTAAAATCTTAAGCCGCCGCTCAAATAGAACAATTAAAAAGAAAAAAGCATTCCTGGGCACTTGGAATTTGCTAGCTGATGGTTTGGGGTGGAGTCCAGGAGCAGAGCTGGGATGCACAGAACCAAGCCAGACAGGCAGCTTCGGGGAGGGTGCTGCGCCGCCCCCGCCTTCAGTTACCAGAAGCAAATAGGATTCTGCCGAGAACTGAGGCCAAAGGCGGTTATGTGTCCCTGGGCTGCTGCCCTCCTCTGCCTTCGGCCCAGTCCACACTGCGGGCCGCACGGCTTCCTGAGATCGTCTCTAACCTGGAGTCCTGGCTTCCCTGGGGTGGGGGTGGGGGGTTACAGGCCGGTCCTGAGCAGGACAGAAGGTGGGAGAGAAGTAAAACGCCCCTGTTTAGAGGCACAATAAGCACTGGGAAGCGAAGGGGGCTTCCCAGGGCCAGAGAGGAGGGGGAGGCGGAAGGCGGAACGTCAGGAGCGCGGAGGCCCTTGGGAGGCACTGGTGCCTCCTCCCACTGTGGCGGAATGGGGGTGAGGGTGGGGGGCCTCGGCGGCGTGCGGGGTCCAGAGGGGAGAGGGCAGGGGGGCGGGATGCGGGCGGGGGGTCCCTGAGGGGGCTGGGCACATCCTCGGAGCGCATTTACCCTGCCCCTGCGGTCGGCGGGGTTGGGACGACAGATGCACGTCGCGGCCCCATCCCAGTGCCCCTTTGCAGGCCTGGGGCCGGTCCATCGCCGCAGGGCGGCAGCGGCCCGCGGTC